AAGCAATAAAACCCTTTATTTTACACTTGTATTGTACGACGCATAGAAGAGGGACGGGTCTTCAGTTATGTTGTTTTTGAAATAAGTTTTCTTAGTTGTTCATGGGTTATTAAAGGTGAGGGAAGCGTGAAATTATTGTTGGTTGCAGCAAATTTCTTGTACCCGAAATTATTGAGGCTCCTATGCTATGCATATGCTATTTTCTGTATTAATAACTCAAAATAAACTATTCTCAAATCTAGTTTAAGTCCACTTTATTCATTACTGAAATTATATTACAACAATCAATTTCACGATACGTCACAGCGGCCATCTTGGAGCAAGGGCGCTAGAACTGAAATTATGACTTATAAGATCCAAAAATTGCTTAATTTATCCAACATAAGATAGTCGATAATAAATTGTAAAGTTTTACTTATCTGAAAAATACACTGAAATGTCCTCTTAGACACTAAAAAGCACTTGATTTTACGAAATTCATCCAATGATCGTTACTCAAGCGGTTGTTGCTGAGAACACCAAGAGTGTTCGGCCAGGGCAAAGTGATTTTAATCCGGTTAATGAATAACGTTCCTGGCGAGACAGCAGTGGCTGTTACAACAAGGACAGCGGTAATAAATTCAGCAACAACCGCTTGAGTAACGATCATTTGGATGAATTTCGTAAAATCAAGTGCTTTTTAGTGTCTAAGAGGACATTTCAGTGTATATTTCAGATAAGTAAAACTTTACAATTTATTATCGACTATGATCTTATAAGTCATAATTTCAGTTCTAGCGCCCTTGCTTGGAGCATAAACTTCAAAGAATTTCTAAGGATTTCTCATTAGTATCTATTGTTCATTCATCCAAAATGGCCGCCGGTCTTTTATCTTTTAAATCTCATGGGAATGGTTGAAAAACATTCAATAAAATAAAGTTTAACTGCAAGAAATGAAGGATCAAGGAGGCAAATCCGCCACCTTTTTGTCAAATAATGGGCAAATGTGACAATCAAAATCTTCAGATAAAAAAATCTAAGCTTGTTGTCATAGTAGAATTTAAACCATGTTTTTGGATTGTAAGTCCAAATAATTAGGACCACTGAAAAATCTCCTTATTATCTAAATAAGGAATTTATATACATTGGAACAGCTGTTTTGTTCCAAAAGAATGTATTTACAGAATATCAAGTTATTACAAAATACAGGTACCATCATGATACTTAAAGCAAAATCGTTTTTCTGCTCTGCTGTAATGACGCT